GATAAGGATAAATTTCACTTTCTTCTCAAATTAATTTTCAAATGTGAAAGTTACTTTGAAAAATGTGTCAAAACTTTTAAAAGCTTATTTTATTTCAATTACAATAAAATTATGTAAAAGTTGAGACTCATTCGATATAACTTTCTTCCTTTTTCTCACTAACTGCACTTAAATAAAAGCTCAAAAATATAAGGATTAAATGTTTTATCTAATCTTAATCCAATTAATGGATAAAATATCATAAAATTGAATTGGAATAAACCAGATATTCATTGGAAATACAATAATTAATCTCGCATCGAAGTTTCGTTGTTAATTATTAATTTTGTTCAGACTTTGTATTTGTAGTTGTAATTTTACAGTCTTGCGGAATTTAATTATAATATCTGCATTATTTTAAATATATATCGTAATTTGTAATTCGTTCGTGTATTAAAAGTTTTTACCGTTCGAAAAAAAAAAAAAAAAAAAAAAAAAAAAATTCAATTAATTATAAATAAGATAGGAACTAATTTTCCATTTTAAAACAAATATTAAACTATATGTCGTAAAATAAAATAAATATTAAAACGCAAAGAAAACTTTATCACCGCACCAAAGACTAACTAAATATATCTTGGACGTTTTAATTTTTTTTTTTTTTTTTTTTTTTTTTTTTTTTTTTTTGGCTGATGTCTCTTAAATAAACATGACGTTTGCTTTTTCTTTAATTGCCATATAAATATTATATTTTTAAATATTCAAACCTACTACTATAAAGCATCTACTATAAAAACTGAAATCATTATATCTTCTCTCTCTCTCTCTCTCTCTCTCTCTCTCTCTCTCTCTTATATCCACAATTAAACGTAATTATCCACTCTTTGATTTATCACAATCGTATAATACAATATCGGTAAAAATAGCCGACCACATCTTTACATAATTAACACTGAACTAGGCAAGCTACGCTTTATTTATAATATTAAGTGGCACTAATGATATCGCGATAAGATGAACATTTGGGATTTGTCTTTGGGACACGGAACGAGCGAATCATCGAGATCGCCAGTGTCGCGCGATTGTCGTCTCATTTTACCCAACGAACGTCATCGTTCTTGCCATTATAGACCTATAGATGACGCAAGCTCGTCGAGTTGCAAAAATTAGGGAATAATTCGTCATCCCTCGGCCTCGAAACCGCGAGCTGCGTTAAACTGCCAGGACCAAAATCTCGGGGGGACACTTTCGTGTTGTGCGAGAGTCATGAACGCCACTGATGATCCTTCGGTCAAGCGGCTGCTGCTCGTGTAACTGCATCAGGGACTCCCAGCATCTGGCTACGGTCCAGCGACGCACGTGGGTACTTTCGTCCGAGGGGAAGGACGAAGTCGCGAGAAGTTGGATCTGCTGCATCGAACTGCGGATGAAGTGGTACACATTTTTTTGCCACGGGAGATGGACGAGAGATTTTCGTTTTCGCTTCGCGTGAGCCGTGGCGGGAGATTGATCGTTATGCTTCGATTAAATGCTAGCGACGATGCGGCACTAGCTCGCTTGGAACTCTGACGCAATCAAATTCCCGTACCGCAAGTAGGCCTTGAGTTGAGTTTTTCATGTATTGTGCTGTTAAGCCGAGGGCTAGAGGACTAATTACCCTGACTTTTTGCCTCGTTTTTTGATTTTCTCTAGCGTGACAATTTTCCGATCGTCCTCATCCTCCAATCCCTCGATTTTCCATTACTATATATCTATATATGTGCTCTGTAAAATGATTTCGTTAATCATGATTTTACATTTCGAAAATCGCAACGGAGCTTTTCAAACCCAAGCGATATAGTAGCGTGGCTCGTTATGTTCCTTATTAATTATGAAAAAGCGGTGTATTTCGTATTAATTCAAGCCGCACCGCGGAGTCTATTTACTATTGCCGACAATGGCGCTTTAAAATCTGCTTTAAATTTATTTAACGAGACATTTGGAAAATTTATTTAGCCTATCCGTTTGCTTAATGAGTTCGTCGACCTAGAAGACGCGACTTAATTAAATATTCAATGTCTCCTGATCCCTCGATCCTCAAAATTAAATTAAAGCATAATATTAGAATAGCTAGGAGTTGCAATTGCGGGCTTACTTCCCAAGTTCCTTAGGCTTTATATGCTCCAGGTATATCTACTACCTTCGGCAAAGTTTCCTCGTTTGACATATTCGTGGAGATGTCATTTAAGGCGAGTTGAATTTTTAAGGATACCAGACAAAAGAAAAGTACCTTGACAAGTAGTTGCGCGCATATTGCATCGATGTATTGAGATATTGCGGTACAGCGATATGACAATGTATAGATGCATGGAATATTCGATGGAATGATCGATCGCCGCCGCCATATTAGTCGACTTAAAGCCACGAGACCTAAACACTACGTACGACCTCTTTCAAAAAGCCAATGTCACCCTGTCACGTGGCGCGTAAATCATTTTCGGTGAAAGCCGCGCGACCAATATGTCACCGATTCCCTCTAGAAATTATCCCCATCCTCCGCTCCACCGCTACCTTCTACCACGGCGCAATGCAGACCTCTTATTTTCTGTCTTGAAGCAAATTGACGCGTATTGACGTAATTTCGCTCCCGAAAGGCGTCCACTTTATTATATTTTAAGCCGCCCGGAGTGCAAAACGAGGAGGTATAAAGGAAAGCGAAGGGGAAAAAATGGGGGCGAGGCGGGAGGGGTACCGCATAATCGATTTCCAATTTTATTTCTGCACTCGAAGGCCCAGGTTTTTCCCTCCCTTTCACTTCACCAACCTCAACACACGCGCGCGCGCGCACACACACCTCCCTACCGGTCCCTCAACCCCACCTCATCCCGCCCTAGCAATTCAATGCGATGTTAACGGCCACCGCAGACGCTTCGAAACAATCGCTCTCATTTTTAACGCCAGAAGTCACTTATAATGCATTGTCGCGCGCATGCAATGTTGAAAAATGCATTTATTTACCTTCCTTTCTGCGATACTGGCCACTTGGAGGTTTGCATTTTGCCGGGAAATTACGATTGCCGTCTTCTCCCATACCGGGCAATTAAAGTGTCACGCGCCTCAAGAATGGAGCTTCGAGGGGGAAAAAAAAAAAAAAAAAAAAAATTTCCTCGCTCATGGCCAGGAAAGTGGGCAGGGTGGACGGATTGTCTTTTAATGATCACGACGGCTAGGCGATGGAATTACCGTTTCGGCTCGCGTTACATTATGGCGATGGGGCGGGGGACGGGATGATGGCGCAAGCGCGGCTCGACCAAAGTCTCTCGGCATTGGCAAACGAGTGAGTGCTGACATCGTGGCGAGATAGTCCCGCGCGATACCGAATGTCTCCCGACAGAAAAAGCAAACGTAAAAAAGAGAGCGCCAACAATGAGGAAGTAGGATCGACGAGGGCAACGGCCAAAGGACTTGGCTTCACCTGTTATTATCGAAAGCCCTCGAAGCTGCGAGACGGAGACAGACAATCGCGTTTAAAAAAAATAATAGGATTTGCCGTTGTTCTTGCTGGCGCGTGCGGTTGTAAAAGCCCCGAGGGGGATCATCGCGGAAGGGTGATTTAGCGCGGGCTTCTTCGTGTTTTGCGATCGCTGAGAGCAGCCGTGAGTCGTTCCGATTCATTGGCTAGACAAACGCGCTCAAAAGTGCCCTCGAAAATGGTATCGAGGTAGAGCCGAGAGCGGATTGGTCAAGTTCCTCGGGGATTATCGTTAAGATCCGATTGTGGGGTGGGAGTGGGAGGAGGAGCCGATACCACCGGTAAGAGGGAAGAGGGGCACACGGACACATTGTATTATTGAGCTAAGCGTAATGTGCGATCTCTAGCTCTCTTTTATCGTCAAAGTTTCGTCTTACGTGGGCGCATTCTTGAATCGTCGAGTGTGAAAGTTAAGCGGATCGATGGCGCTTATTTTGCTCCTTCGTCTCGAGAAAATGAGGCTGAAATCATCTAGTTAAGCGAACCGGTGTGAATGCGAGGGAGTCGGAGTTGACGGTAATAGCGTTCGCTATCCTATTGCCTATCTCCAAGAGGAGTCGAACGTTGGAATTTGCCATTGTCTAAATATTGTTTTCGTTGGGTTACTCGTGGACAAGGCAAGAGTGCAATGAACCACTTCGATCGACGACGTTGAAGCTCCGCGGTGAGGTCGAAAACTGTCGGGAAAGCATCGGTCTTTCCGTCCATTCGTTCCATTGCCATTGGCCAAATGGTCGATAATGTAGCGTAAAAGAGATCCGAATGATATAATAGAATATCGATTTAAAAGAAAAAAAAATGAAGAAAAAAATAACTTTTATATCTAAAGCCGTAAATCGACTTACAAACTCATTTTATGGTACGGAAATCCGATGCCAAGTAATCAGCACAACAGCGATCGATGTGCGTTTAATGATTTTGCTCCGTCAACAAACGACTCGTTTGCGCCAGTCGTATTTACGTTGATAAATAGTGGACAATCGTTTGTTCAAGCTAACTTTCCAATGTTTCACGAATCGCCAAATGATCGAAACTTATAATTAGAAAACAATTCGAGCGCTTTCAAAAGTGAAGGATGGAGACATTCTTAATAAATCCACTTAACTCCTCTCTTGCTCACTTAGCTCCTCTCCCTTTCAATATTTTAATTCAATTTATTGCTGCAATTCTACAAACAATCGTTCCTTACATTAAACCCCCCCCCCCCCCTCCCCGCCCGGCCCCGGCCACGGCCCCGCGCTATGTGTAATTCACATATAAATGTTGGGTAAGTTTGGTAATTGAAATATCCTTAATAAAATAATAGTAAATGTAGATGAAGCAGTAAGAAGTTGATTGGGGCTTTCTTGTTTTTTACATTGATAAGCAAAAAGAAATAAAGAAAGAAAGAGAACAAGATTTAACGCTTTAAAATGCTCGTTATAATTTATTCCTTATTTATTTATTTATTTATTTATTTATTTATTTATTTATTTAATTATTCAATCATTTAATTCAATTTACGTTACAGATATGCCAAAACGGTCGTGGATTCTAGTTTAATCTCACAAAGATACAATCCAGAATTCACGTTTTTGGCAACGGGTCCAAATGCAGAAAATAAAGGCTACGTCAACGCAAATACCAGTGTGCTTATTGACCAACTGAGACATATCGATCAGGTGAGATGACCATTATTGTTATTGTTGTTCTTGTTCTTGTTACTGTTGTAGTAAACAAAAATTATGGTAAAAATATTTTCCAAGCACAGCAGTCGTATAATAAATCTAATTGTCTTATTTAAATATACGAAGAGCATAAATCGTCGGTTATTCGAGATTGAATCGAAACTCGTGTCGTGTGACACTAGTACATACCCACGGTCCACAATTCATAAATAAACGGTAAATTTGCATCCAACGTACAGCCTAATTAATTTCTAATTGAACATAAAAATAATGTGACCGGCCATTAATAGGAGCGCAAACCATATTTACTTATATCGCTAGCCAATTAATAAAGCTTGGTCCGATAAAAGTCTCGAAAATAGATTAAGCGACAATATCGAGTGAATAAATAGATTATCAAGCGGAAGATACTCGACTGTACGTGATCGACATAACGGCCGATTAAAATCACCTCGATCTGTCGAGCGTACCATCCGGTGGTCCATTCTGTTAACCTCCCCGCCCATCCTACTACTCCACAGTCGCACGAGCCCAGTAGGCTAAAACTCGGGCAAATAAGCAGCGGGGGAAAGGCGCGTGTGGATATTCTGCGGGTGATTAGGTCTGGCGGTTAGTCCTGGCGAGAGTCGGTGAGGGTGTGATCGAGCGACTGAACCAAGTCGTGGCGGGAGAACGAGAGGGCCGAACGCCTCCGGAAACTTCGACTCCCTTGGATAAATTACTCGTGCCGAGTGGCCCCCGCTTCCTCTCCTCCTTCACCTAACAAACTTACAGTTGAGATACTTAGTCGCGAGTAAGTCCCGCGGGCCGTTCCACTTAGCTCGTCTTAATTCACGGAGACCAAGTGCGTTCAACTATTGTTATTCGCCACGGCGGGACTCGCTAAAGGTCAAAGCAAGGGACGCGTATGCGGGCGTGCGAGGTTGCCGAATGGGTTTCTCGATGAAATCCTCTTCCTCTTTCCTCCTTCCCTCCCTTCCCACCCACCCCACCCACCCCCCCCTACCCCGTGTGTCGGAAGAGTTAAGTAGATGAAAGTTCGAGCGATGTTCAAGAGGGGCTGCAACGGTGCTCGAGCGAATCGACAGTGCCAGTTTTAAAAAGAATTTTACCAGAATTATTAATGACTATTTCTATTTTCCGTGCATTTACACTTGGAGCTTTTCAATATTTGCGAAACATTTATTTTCGGAATTTGGAACGTTCGTCCCTCGCCTTTAGTTCGATAATAAAAATCCTACTCACGGTTTTCCACGACATTGACTCGATAACACCTTACGCATACCTCAATATCAATATACGTGTGTGCGCACATACATGTTTTATTCAATTGAACGTCGGCTATAAATGCTACTTTGTACTAGAGATTTCAATTATTTTTTTCTTTTTTTCTCTCACAAGTTCTCAGCTCAAGGAGTTGCTCTTTTTTCACTTTACAACTCTATGGTGAATATTGTCGATCCGATTTTCTTCATTAATTATTGAATGGTGCCTAAGGAAGACAAGCGTCTAAGGAAGTTAAACAGTCTATCCAGCCAAATCTCTACGACTTTAATTTTAATAATGAATTACATATAATCATTGGATGGATTTATACTAGTACGGTTAAAAATTTTCCTAAATCAAAGGCTTAATTTGCATTAAGCCTCGGAAATGTTTTTAATTTATTATTAAACGTTGCTCACCGTAGCATTAAATTGGAGAGGGCGGGGGGGGGGGGGATTTTTGGTTTT